AAGCACTCGTGTACATGGATGTAGGTACAAGTTAGAAAACACTAGATGGTGCAAAATTTACTAAGCAGCCCATTGCAGAGTCCCTCATATTCATATTGGGGCTTCGGACGTCAATCGCCAACAATTATTATCACGCGTGCCAGCACGCACTGCACAGTTTTAAAGCGAGCCTGTGCGCACGCGCGAGGAAAGCGCCCGCCTTTCTGACCGGCCATGCTCCTTCCGCATTCGGGTCGCGTAAAAGGCGCCAAACGGGACGGCATCTCGGAACGATCTTGAAACGATCGGCCGCCCTGCTGCTCCTTCTTCGCTTTCTAACTCGTCCTTCTTCGCGGCTTTCCAGAGCCACGTCCGATTCGTTTCTGAGCGCGGCGCATTAGCGGCCCGAGGAAGCGTTAAATGGCCATCTCGAAGCGTGGACCGAAGGGCACGCGTTGATGAGCCACGTCTTCAAGCCATGTCTGCGAACGGCCAATAGATGGCCTAATAGTAAGAATGATTTGGCCAGTGGCAAAAAAAAAAAAAAACGACCATCGCGAGGGCAGTTTGAACGTAATGGGATATCCTGCCACTTTCTAACTTCGGCCACATGTCGCAATTGTCAGTGGATTTCGTTGGAAGCAGCCGTCGTCTGCAATCATAGGCGTGCGCATCCCCCCCCCCTCCCCTAGTTACATAAGAGGGGGGCGAGCACTATGTCTGCCCTCTACATTGACTTACAGGGGGGGGGGGGGGGCTGTGATGAACCTTCCCCTCTGAAGGGGAACTCTGCGCACGCCTATGGCTGCCGTAACCGATGTTACCAATCCGTACAGAGGCATTTTAATAATCTATTTATTACAATCACAAAGTATTATAAGGTAGCGACGGTGCTTAACATTGTGTTTCTCTCAAGTTCAGAGCCTCTTTTCACTATTTTGGCTGGGCAGTCATTATAGAGACAACCGGCAACTGCATAACTTTGGCAGGTGAACTTCTTGGGATTCATTATTTGAATAACTTAAATTTTGTGTCTCAGCCCGCCATGGTGGTCTAGTGGCTAAGGCACTCGGCTGCTGATCCGCAGGTCGCGAGGTCAAAGCCCGGCTGCGGCGGCTGCATTTGCGGTGGAAGCAAAAAATGCTGTAAGCCCGTGTTCTCAGATTTGGCTGCCCGTTAACGAACCCTGGGTGTTCGTAATTTCCGGAGACCCCACTACGGCGTTTCTCATAATCATATGGTGGTTTAGGGACGTTAAATCCTCATATTGGGACGTTAAATCCCACATATCATCATAAACCCACATATTATCATTAAATATTGTGTGTGGTAAGAAAATTATTTCAATTTTCTGTATTTAACTTTCTGACACTCGCACAGGCTGTCTCCAGTTCTCATTGATGAGTTGCAAATTGTTCTCGCACGCAGAATGTTTGGGTTCGATCTTCTGGCCGCGTTATTCAATGAAGAATATTCCCACTGATTTTTTTTTTTCTGAGCAATCCACGAGTAATTTTAATGACGTTACATCCATGTCGGAACTGTCGGGCTTAAATTGGCAGTAGACCGAGGCATATAACACTTTTCCTAGCGATTACATTGTTTTAACTATGCTAATCAAGGTGCTTGAGCATATTATTATTATATTGTCATGCGCTGTTTGAAAATACTGTGGTATTGTACGGGCACAAAGATGATAACACGCGCATGATTAATGAAGCAGAGAGAATGGCTCAAGAACCTGACAAATGCTTGAGCAAACCATCGGTGCCCTCCTAGATAAGGAGCTTCAGTATCTGGCAAATGGCGTATGTGCATAATGCATCTGATATTCTGTCTCGTGCTTCGGGTATATAAAGTTTGACGTTTACTCAAATTTATTTATTTATTTATTTATTTATTTATTTATTTATTTATTTATTTATTTATTTATTTATTTATAATACCTCGAGGGCCCCAGTTAAGGGGTGTTACATGAGGGGGTAGACAGTTCACAAACAGATGATTTGTTCGATGGCTTCTTTGAAATGGGCGATGCTGGAGTGGTGCACGATGTCAGCAGGAAGATCGTTCCATTCTGTTGATGTTAGCACAAAAAATGAAGAGTGATAGGCAGTGGTATGCGCACGGGGTGGATAAACCGCTTTCGAATGGCTGATACGGCATTGAAAGACGATATGATACTTTACTGCCTTTCTTTCCTCTTTTTCCTTGGTTGTCATATATAAATGCAATGCGGGATGAATAAACCTTCAGTTGAAAGTCTGTGCTTGTCCTTGTCTTTTCCGTCCGTGTTTTCTACAGCGTAGTACACTTAGATCATAATATAAGACCTGGATGCTTTCCGAGTTATGCTACCAGACTCACAAGGTGTTGAAACACATTCAATATAATTCAGGCGATATGTGTTATCTGAATTATCCCTAGTATAAGAAGGCACGCTGCAGAGTTGCCGTGACGCAAAGGTTTCATGTCGTCAATCTAGACAAAAAGCGCCCATCTCTCTGTGCAACCGACACTGCAATGTTCCAGTCAGCGCGCCCACTTCCTCGTTTGGAGCGCACACATGCTACCTTGATATTTCCTAGTAAAAGCAACACACACACTCGACATAATACGGCATTGCCGTACGCGCACGCTCGATCGAAATAAACATACGCACGCCAGCATTTGTCACACAGTTCACCTTGTTCACGAGTGCACGAAAAAATACACAAGCAATTAGCAATGAAAGGAGGGAGCGGCGTATAAAAAAAAAAACATTATTTTGCTGTTGCTCATTCGGGTTTACGAGACATTCTTTCTACTTCCGCGGTTGACAACGACGCCGTCTCATTCTGACAAGGAAACGGTGTCCACTCAGCAGACTTGAAAACGGAAAAGGCCCAGCGAGTCCAACGCGGTTTCCTTCACTGCGTTGTGTTTCGCCGAGCCCGCCCGCTTCTTTCCCCACGAGACACAACGTCCCCGTTTTTTTTTTTGTTTTTTTTTCTTTTGTCACGCGCCGACGAAAACGACGTCGAAGGCAGCGAAGACCACGCTGAAAAATGATCTCAGTCACCACACTTACCTCACCGCGGACCCCGAAAGAAGACGCTACCGAGGAAGTTGGCCAAGAGACCACGGCCTCTGCATTCGCGAGAGCAAAATGCGATCTGTGTGGTTCTGCTTTTCGAGTAAGGCAAAAAAAAAAAAAATCATTGTGCAACGCTCGGGCACGGAGAGTGCTATTGGTGTGCGCACACCTGGCAGCTCCACGAAGTCGCCGGCATTGTGGCACTGACGCCATCATCGGGTCACTGCCACGATCTCTTGATAGTCTCTCTGTGTCATTGCAACCGAGCTTTTTTTTTTTCACACTGAGTGTGAATAACGGTGTGTACATCCGTGCACATATTTACGCAGATGGCACCCCGTAGCGTCGAATGCACGCGCGGCGTAAGAGCCGCGTATGCATTGGTTCCCTCCGCCGCGTTGATGTCCCGAAAAGGCATATACGCTCCTCTGAATACTGGCCGCTATGTTGGTAAAGAAACGTCCGACTGGTTCTGCAGAGGGCGCCTGATAGAACCGGTAGTAGATTAGCGCTCACGCGCTAATAACGGCACGTGGCTTCTTTGATAAATAAATAAGTGAATAAACAAATAAATACATAAATAAGTGAATAAATAAATAAATAAATAAATAAATATTATCAGTACCTTACAAGTACTCAAGTTTGTTATGCTGCTGACGCTCTAACAAATGTTTAATATGTTTTTATCAGGTAATCAGTTAATTAAAGCATTGATCTATTTTAACTGACTGAACTACAACGTCAACCTACGAGAGATGGTCCAGAATAAATGCCCCCAAAGAGAGCTCACTCTCGGCGGACTATTTATTTAGTTTGTCCTAAGGGCACAGAAAGGGGTTACATAGGGGGGGGGGGGGTACAAAGGACAAAATTACAATATCCTCAAACAGTTAGCATGTATTGAAAGCTCATAATAAGGTTTCAAGACCAAATGGTTTGAACTTTCCGACCTGCAAGATCGTACGCGCGTATATTTGTTCTGTAACCCATGTCTACCGGCTGCAACCATCTCGCATAATATTTATCTCATGTAAGTCTCTGTTTTCACATTGTAGAGAGGGACATAAATAAATTATTTCGACTAGCATATCGCTGGTGACGATATCACTTCCTGCAAAGTATGAAACCTTGTGGTCCTGATGGAGTTGCATGACATTATTATGAATGATTTTGACGTTTCTTGCTAGTACTAACATAGTGAGCGTAGCAAATCATCGACTCTTTTTCTTTCGACAAGGCCTACTTTCTCTTTGGCGTGGTGTGCAGTAACTTACTTTTCGAAATTCACGACGTTTTAAACACTCAAAAGCCGGTCATATCATCGTCTACGACTAATCCTACCTGGCTGCGTACTTTGCCTTAAATCTTCTGGTCGATAAACTGCAGGAATGGAGTATACATAATCTATTTCAGCGGCCATAGAAAGCTCCTTCGGTGAGCATTCATTTTGAAAAGGATTTCGGAGGCTAACCGTTCCGTAAATCACGCCAACTTATACGTCTGCCTATAACGCTACTCGCAACACCAAAGAACGTCTGCTGGGTCAGGGCCTACCACGTTTTACAGATCAGATCAATTATGACCTTCTGCGATGAAAGAGTCGAACAATAACAGCTAGAAGTACGCCTACCGAGTATGCGACTGCAGTGTGCGGCAGTTAAGAATAAGTAAACAAAAACAAACAAAAAACCATGCAAAAAGGCTTATTCAGCGTGGGGGCGTATAAAGTAAGAGTCGATATCTGCATATCCTGTGTGCCTACATGTCTAGCTGGTTTTGAGGGCAATCCTGCTTAATGACCCTATCGAAGCATTGCATAACAAGGAGAAAGTAACCAACGGGGATTTCTTACTAGACATTTTCACTAGTTATTGAAGGAGAACCGCACGATACTGTCTGAGAGGTCATTTTCGTTCATTATTTTTGTTTCTCCTTTTTTGTGTAGGGAGTCCGGTCCACGATGACCCACGCTACCCTGGCGGCGATGCTGCTGCTTCTGGCTGCTACCTGGCAATGCGACGGGGCCCAACGGGTAAGCTTACCTGATGTGACATGTAATACTTACTTGGCTGACTTTTACACTCAGTCAGAACCCACGAATTTGGTACGAGACAGACCTGTGAAACCACGGTGAGCCCTTTGCGCAGCTTTGTAAGAGAGTCGTATAAGTTCGTTTGCTGAAGAGGTGAAGTTCATTTGCTACGGTAATATCGACGGTAGGTATATTGGAAAATACAAGTTCGTTGGTTTTCAGCTAAAATGTTATCAATAGCTCATGATTTATACTGGGATCTCTCACGCTGTTTGCCAGTATGTTAATGTTTCAACCTAAAAATCGTGAGTTCAACGGGAACCCGTCCGGTCGGGATCACACATGATGAAGGAGATGAAATATACCTGACGTAATAAAAACCTAAGAAAACGACAGCTTTCGTTTGAGTGCCTTGCTGAAAATTAAAATGTCGTTTTCTTTTAAGCTTTAATTTGGAAGATGTATTTGATTTGCTTCATCACCATGGAATAACAACACTTACGGTAACATAACCGTCCTAAACGTGGAAACGTGCTTGACATTATGAAAATGGGCCAACGTAATCGGCGCATACCATACAGATTTTCTTTGACATTGGAAAGCGGTACACACGCCCCTGTGACTCTTTGGTGGCTGCTTACTATTAACACAGCCCATTCGTAATTCTTAGGTTGTTCCTCATAGTCACCGCAGCTAGTCACGTCTTTTCAAACCACCGCGCAGTCGATAACTCCCTTCTCCGCATGTCATCATATAGTAGACTGTCACAACCCCGCAAATGGCAACCCTTACTGATAAAAAAAAAAAGAACCATCAACACTGCCAGGGAGTTGTGTGCTCGTGTTCTGCTAGTTCAGTTCTAGCCTTGACGAAGGCGATTTCACTTGCAGAAACTCGAGAAACTTGTTATCGTTCGAGCGCGCAGCCCCCTGTTTGCGTATTTATAATCGCCATTTTCCCCTTCCTGTTGTTTTATGGAATAAGCCTTACTTAGTTATATATGTAGATCATGGCCAACCATCTACTTTTGTATCGCTGATGAGCAGGTACAGCTACAATCTTGAGAGCCCCGTGAGTTACAAGTACGTTAGTGCCTGCCGCACACCATTTGTAAGTTGCGGCAACAATCATTGAAGTTTTGCATCTCGTCTCTCTTATCGAGCACTTATTCCGCGTAGACGACAGCTAGCCTTCTGTGCCGGTGTGGGTAAATCTGCTTCCAGTAACCACCCGGTAACAGCGGGGTCACGGAAATGGTGACATAGCCCGTGGGAAAACTGTCTACATCGCAGAGCTTCGTCCTCCAACGTACACTGCTTCGCTGCGATCTGCTTCGTCTGAGGAGAGGTCCTTGAGAGACCGATGCAGCCGGTACTTAGTGCTCGCCTGATGACCGACGCCCGAAGACAATGATACACTGCCGATCCCTTGTTCATTGAGAACGCACAGCTGTGCAGGTTACGAAGGTCAGACGACGGGTTAATGCATATCGCGGTCACACAAAGTGCTCACACGAGGGCAAAACGTAACTGCTTCAGATAGGAGACCTCTGTGAGCATCAGTAGCCAGATTCACGCAGGAGAATCGTTAAAGATTGCGATGTCGAAATCGAATATCTGCTCGAGCTTCGTGCATGGGTCCGCGCTAGAACTTCGCGGTCTCAAACCATTACGCTTCTGAGGACAGAGCCTGTGTATTTAACTATCCCAGACTTTTATGTGCCTCAATAAGAGCAAGAAGGCGTGAAACTTGCCGAGCTCATTAAGGTTACAGTAAAGTAGACTGTGAAGAATGAATGATGCCATACGTATTTTACACAATTTCAGACAGTCGATCTCATTCGCGTCTGAAGAGGCTAAATGAACGAAGTTATTGAAGAAAAGGATTCCAATGACGATAATAAATGTAATTTCTGTCCGAACAAAAGCTCGCATGAGCTCTGCCGAGAGGAGCACTTATGGTTTACCCCAACATATCTCCAGGCTCTCATTTTAACAGCACTTAACAGCTGAGTGTCGGGAACGACCGCCTGACGGACAACTAACGCATGCGAATACGAAGAGAAAAACAAACAAACAAACGCTGCACAATTCGCTTGCATGCGCGCTGAGGCATGTGCCTCAACTTCCACATTGGGAAACGCAGCTTCAAATCTCATCGTCGTTTCCAACGCGTCTTTAAGAAGCCGCCGAACCTTTCGCGCTGAGAAGGTCACCCCGCCGCAAAGCGCCAGGTCTTTCATGCGGGCTCGTTCCCACCCACACGCTGTCGCACTTAGCGGGGCAGGGGCGCACCACTGTCGCGTCGGAAAACCCTTTCATTACTACAGCGAAAGCTCGAGAGACAAGCCAGTTCGGCGTATACGTCTTTTAATGCCCGCTAGCGTACAGAGACAGAGAAGGCTACAAACACACTCACTGGCTACGCGGACAAGTACCCGGGGCTATGAAGCACGCGTCTCTGCGACTGCTTTGGTCGCGTGCAGCCCTCGGATGACGGTGGAGAAAGCACCGCCGCAGGCACAATGCGCCGGACGTCTTTGACCTCGTTCGCTCGGACGCCCGAGCCGAGGCCTCGCGGGCAAGAACGGGCGCCGCTCCTGGAAGCCGCGGACATCGCTGGCAGCGGTGACGAAGGGAAGGCTCCGTGAGAATGCCGGCGTCGGACTGTCGCCGAAGGACACGCTACCGTATAACCGATTACGAAGCCGTAACACCGTGCACGGATCCTTTCACTGGCGGGAGAAGAGAGCGGGGGATGATCGGCGCGAAATGGACTTCCAAGAAGAACGAGCCGCGCGTTCATTACGAGGCGACACAAGGTCTGAGAGATCCGTGAAAGTGATCCTTCGCTGCGTGCTTGACCATTCGATCCGCTTCGTCGACGTTTTATGTGAGCGTCCAGGATGCCTACGGAAAGTCAGTCTATCCGCGCGTAAGCTCTCTAATGAACCCGTACTGTACCGGCGCTTTCCATTTACGGAAAGGGTACACCGAAGAGATAAATCTTCAGGTCAGAGTTGGCATGGCTTGTGAGGCTCCTTTTTCTTTATTCACACGCGAAAAAGTTGGGAGAGCTTTACACCGGCCCATTGCGTCGACGTCGGCGGAAGCATATATACTGTAAATGGGAGATCACACCGCCGCCAAGAGTAGTCACTTGTGTGTTTGTTGCACCGGTTCCGCAACAAGGCATACGCTACGGTCTATGATAGAATCAACGCCACCTTGCTCGCTGGGTAATGGGATTGATCGTGCTAGGTGTGGTTGTAGGTAGGGGTGCGCTTAACGTAACGCTTCAGAGCGATAAGGAGAAGACGGTATAAAGGCTGCTTTCTCATTTTTCAAAGCCATTTGTCACGAAGTGTACACTTTCTTTTAAGTGCGGAACGCTTTAGGAGGCTGGGCTGTTCCATCAGCAGCATATTTGTTCTTTTAGCCCTTGCTGATCTTCGGTCTCTTGTTCTTCAAGCGCCTTGATGATGATCACTTACTATCATCAGCGAAAAAAAAGAGAAAAAGAAAACTAAACTAGTGCACTTAGCTAAACCAGGCAGAACCACGCATAAAAGTTTAAAAAGAAAAGAGGGAACAAGCGCGAAATGGAAAGAGAAACACTAGGAAGAAAACAGAAAGCGCAAGAAAGAGAAAGAAATAATTATAACTAAATTGAGAAATGAAAGCGAGAGAACGACGGAAAAGAGAAAAAGAAAGGAAGAGAGGAGAAAAGAAAGAGAAAACTGAAGAAGGCATATGTCCACCTCCACACTTTCCTCAGGCTTGGCACCACTAGAGTGTAGCCGCCTTAATTCTTTAGTATACGCATCAATGAGCCGCGGACGGGCGTTTGGACTGTGGCTCTGCATACTCGTCAATAAAATAAATAACAAGTAAGTTCTTCGAGTTAAACGGTGCAAAAAAGAAAAAAAAACGTGCAAGGAAAAGAACTCTTGCACACGAAATAAGCTGCCAGAGCCAGCAGTCGAGGCTCAAGGTCTGCTGGCAGCCAGAACAAACGCGTAAAAACGCATTTGCGGCAAGCATAGCCGCCGTTATGCAAGACGAGCCTGCATCCGCCACTTGACGGTTGCATTTTGTCGACAAAGCAGCGGCCGCCGCCTCCGGTCTTGAAGAGTGAAGAAACGCCGCGCAGTGAAGTGGCGAACGGAGACCTTCTCTGGCATGCCTGTCGACCCCTGCATATCACGCAACGGCTTCCTCGGCTCGCAGTTTGGGAAACTGCGCACTACGTTTATTTTTCTTTCCCGGCAGACACTGCGGCAGACTGCAGTCAGTCATGCGCGGAAGACTGAAGACGCTCTTGCGGCCCGCCGCGCTGTGTAACTCAGGTCGCGGTGTCCTGACAGGCGTGGTTGACTTACAATGGCCGGATGGTGTTTCAGCATACGTTACGTGTCTACTGCTGTCGCAACGATGACCAATATTATAGACCACGTTTGTAAAGAGTGGTAGGCCCCGTCGAGATGGTGAAGCACTTGTAGCGACGCGCGGGCACCGCCCAGTCCAAGGCTCGCCACCGCCTCTGAGCACAAGGCAGGGGGGGGGGGGGGGGGGTGATTTTAAATGATTAGAAAAGAACCTCGTGCCTCGAGGCTCGTAACTGTCTCTCAGGGGGAAGACACCTCATCAGTAGCTCACGAAGGATGGGGGTAGAGAAGGAATTAAAAGGATAGGATTGAAAGGTAGAGAGATAGAGAGAGAGGAAGGAGAGAGCGAGGCGCAGGAACAGCGAACGACGGAAGTAAGGAGAAGACAGGAACGATGGACACGGTCGCAGGAGTCCGAGGACGGGGCACCACTTGCGAGAGCTCTTGTCGGCGACAGGACACGGCGTAGGGCTAACACAGTCAGAGCTATACGTTGCCGTCGTCGTCGTCGGGGACCGGCGTCAGGAGTTGGCGTAGGACCAACCCAGTCGGCAGAGCTGCACTGTCGTCGGAGATCGCGAGGGCACAACCGCTCGGCACGGAATTCAGCGAG